GGTGCGTCTGTTGTGGTGACATTTGATTCCAGTTAGTGCGTGATGAAGAGGCCCTGTGTGTGGAGGCTGTGAGTCTGAGCTGGGAGCTGGTACAAGGCCTGAGCACTAATGCCAATGACTTCTGGCCGGCACTTAAAGGCTTCATCTCCACAGCTTTCCACCATAAACTGCTTCAGCTGACACAAGCTCAGTCTCCGACCCTGGCGGCCACTTTGAAACAGGTGATTCACCTCACAGCAGAAAATGAAGCGAGACAGAAATTTGGACTTTGAAAATGTATTTTCAATAATGAAATATTAATATTTGTTGTGTCGGTGTTTGTTTTTAGATTGCCCGTGATCTGATGGAGTTGTCTCAGTCAAAGAGTGGAGTTTTTGGCGTACTGCTTCAACACTGCTGTCAGATGTGGCTGCCTGCAGGTGGAGGCAGCGGTGACCAGGCCAACACAGTGTTTTCTAGTATTTTCAACCACATCAGCATAATTACAGAAGCTTGTGTTTACGGTCCAGTGTTCAGGAGAGATCAACGGTAAGGCTTAGCAGCATTTTTCACATTTATTTAGTAGCTTCTTAGAGCTGTTTTAACTATTTAATCATGCTCTTTCCAAGACTCGTCCAGGATGTCCAAATATATGTGGAGCAACTTGGTGAAAAGTGTGCAGCTAATGTCGCAGTAGCAAGGTAAACAATTCAGTGAAAATTCTCTTCTTATTGATATGATTTAAAATAGTGCCACTAGAGGTCTCTCTTGCTGTGTGGATGTTTCCACAGCTGAACAACTGTTTTTATTTTCCAGTGATAACAGAGATGATCAGTTGCCTCGCACATGTGTTCTGGCTTTCCTGTGCCACCTGGATTCTTCTAATCTCCAGCATCAAAGACTAATGGAGGAAGTAGCAATGGAGCTGTTGAAAAAGGTGCGTTTGGCCTTGTCAGGTTCACAGCAGTGTGTTGTTTTGTTTTTTTTTGTGGTGTGGTGGGGACAGGTCTACATGACTGCCAGCAATCAAACTTCCAAAGTGGATCGTTGTATGATGATAGGTTTTTTTTACTCTTTATCCATCAGTTGTGACTGATTGGAGATCACAAATATATGCAAATTAATATATACAGGCATTAAATTGAAGTTAAACTCTTTCGCAGCTTTCAAAGAAAATCAGAATGCAGAATTAGCCTTAGAGCTTATTCCACGGCGAGGATTTATTATCCGTCCATCCTTTCACAGTTCACAAGAATTATTAACCCACAGTTTTGGTCATAATTTTATCAAAGTTCCACACAATGATCATCTCATAGATGTTCACCCAAATTCTGCTCAAGATCAAGGTGACACTTGTCGTTTTACGGGCAATAACCTGGGAATTGCGATAGATTGTGGACCATTAAATAAATGGCGAAGTAGCAGTTACAGCCACTTTGCATCCTTTTCCATGATTTTTGTTTCATTTCTTAAGGATAATGATATATCAAGGTCAAAAGTGCGTTACTACAGCAACTCCCTGCAACATCGTGCTAAAAACCGAGTATGGCAAACACTGCTGCTGTTGCTGCCCAAACTCCGAGAGGTAAGATAGTCACAAACTCACCTTAAATCTTCCAGGGTCGACTGCTCCCCTCTGTGAGTGACTGCGCTTTCATTTGCAGGAGTTTGTTGCCACTTTGTGGGGTCGTGTGTTTGAAGCGGGATTTTGCAGTAACCAGGCTTCTGTCAAGTACCTGATCGAATGGATGATGATTCTGATCCTTGTCCGATATCCACAACACACTGACAGCTTTTGGTCCTGCTTCAGCCTGGTGAGCTCCAGCTCTTTCAAACTCTGTAGAACTGGAGTGAATGGTTTTTCATTCTAAATTAAATTATAAACCACTTCCGGTGCTTGTTTCTGTGCAGGATCACGAAAAGACTAAGACGAGCGTCTGCACTTTCTTATCTGTTCTCGTACATTTCAGTGTCATCTTTCCTAATCTTGAAGAAAAGGTAGTATCTCTAATTATTTTTTCCCACCCAGACAGTATTTGTTTTTATTATCAACTCCTGAGTATTCACATTGTGTTTTTTCTTTTGTTTCTTAAGGCGGCGCAGTTGCGAAAAGCACTAGACGTCATCCTGCAGTCGTGTTTTAACCATAACTTCAGCGTGCGCCTGTATGCCTTATTGGCTCTGAAAAGGGTGTGGAGCCTGGCGGAAAACCATGTGGAAGAGGCAGATGGTTTAGGGGGGCTTTCCTCTGTGATCAAGGCCTGTCTGAACCAGGCTGAAGCCATGCAGAGCACTGGGTGAGAGCAGAGCGGTTCAAATGTTGGCAGGTTTTGTTCTATACATCAGGCTAATATGCTTTAGTACATATTTGCTGTCTCACATGTAGAAATGCCAACAAAAACTGGACGAGGATTCAGGAGCACTTCTTCTTTGGTGCCTTTCATCCAATCAGGGATTACAGTATTGAAGTACGCTATTTTGCAATTAAATCCTGCTAAAATATAGTAACACAGTCTAACATGCTTGTTTTCTTTCTTATTTTGCTTTCCTAGACAATATTCTGTACATTTCCCAGTCTTTCTGAGTTGGCTGATGATGAGTGGATACCACCCTGGAAATTTGAGAAACTCTCATATTTCTCAGAAGGTCCATCTTTGCCTTTGAGAAATCCTGCTCCTGATCTGAACCAGCTTCAACCTGGAGACTGGATCCAGCAAGACAGAAGTACAGTAGCAGCAGTAGCAGTAGTAGTAACACTCTTAAGCACCAGTCAGTGATAAGGTTTCTCTTACTGACCGTCATGGCTTTATGTCTTCCAGGTGAGCAGGATAAGGAGGAACGCTGGGCTGAGGTGCAAAAGAAGATCACGCCCTGGAGACTGGGCATCCAGGAGCAGGAGCCTGAACTTCAGCTGGTTCCACCACAGAGGGCTGCTAGACTGGGAAAACTGCACGGTGCCTTGCTGGTTGTGGCCTCACTTATCGACAAGCCCACCAATCTGGGAGGTCAGGAGCACCACACATCAATCTATTATTGTACATTTTTGGTTACTAGTACGGGTTATGTTTAGGGAGCGAGTAAGCAGAGTTGTTTTCTGCAGCTGCAATTTACAGACGGCCCCTGAACACCTCACATGTAGACAGTAGGTAGACAGCTGTAGAGATACATACACACAACATGTGCGTGTTGCTGCTAGTAAACACAAAGTGAGCTGTTAAATAATAAATCATTTAACCAACTTTTATTACTTTTATTGTTTATTTTGAGAGCACCACAATTTTACTGCAGTTTCCACAGATTGAGAACTTGAGGTCACGAGTAGCACGACTACAATTGACTCATATTGCCCTTATGTCCTAAATGAAGCCAATCAGGAGTTTCGAAACCACAACTGAAAACTCCTTTTAGCTAGATTATGAGAGCTGCTTTTCCAGAATGACTGGAAATGACTCTGCACTTCCCTGGATCTCTGCTCTCAGTTTTACCTTGTGTGGAAGCCCCTCCCCCTGCACAAACCCCTTACACAATGTCAGTGTATTTCTGTTTCGTAACAATGATATAGAAGAACAGAGAAACACATCCATTTGAACCATCTTATCTGGTTTTACACGGTTTTGCACCTGCCTTCATCAAGCACATAATATATGTTCTCTGGAAGTGTACTCGAGTGCTGTTGTCTCAGGTGATAAGGCACGAACACAATGAGAATTTGTTTATAGAGGAAAAAGATTTTTTTAAGCCAATATTGATACTGTGTAATGCAAGAAAGACTGTTAGCCTGGTCCTTCTGTAAATGTTTTACTTTGAATCCCAGACTCAATTTGCATCTCTTTGTACACACAGTGGTGTTCTAGGAAACTCAAAACTGGAACAGTCTTTTTATTAACCTCCTGTGCTTTGGATGTCATGGAGCATTTTTATTTGTAAAAAAACCCACCCAAATCAAACACACTGTCTTTGTCGCTGCAGGTCTCTGCCGGACTTGTGAAATATTCGGTGCCAGCGCTCTGGTTCTGGATAGCCTCCGCCACGTGAATGACAAAAACTTCCAGTCCCTGAGCGTCTCAGCTGAGCTGTGGCTTCCTTTGTTAGAGGTGATGTGCAGAAAATAAACTTATTTTGACGATCAGAAGTGCACATGGTTAGATTAAGGTTAAAATAGATTGTCAGGATCTCTCACACACACACAGACAGACACACACACACACAGAATATCCAGACAGCAGTAGAAATAATGCTGTTTATTCAGTTGATCAGTAGATGTGCATTATTCAGAGTTACAGTAGCTCTGTATTTAAAGGTTCATTCTTTCTGTACTGTTTGGGAATTTTAATGATGGATGTACCATAACACTCTGAATATAGAGGCCTTTTAATACATGTATTTAATTTAAACAGTGGTTCACAAAACTCTGACAGCACTACTAAATAAAAGTAAAAATGTTTTTTATATGGAGTACAATAAAGAATGAGTAGTAACTTCTGGGCTCAGTGTAATAAAATGTGACTGACTGCGATGAAGCAGTGAGTCGGGTGATAAAGTGGTAAATGTTTTTGAAATATCCTGAAGAAACTGAACTCCAGGTTGCTTTTGATGGCAACCCAGCACAAAGTGTGACTAAAACACAGGGAACACTCTAAGGTAAAAACACTGTGTATACATGCAGACCATTTGTCATCATTAAGCTCTTTTTTGCCTTGTGATGGGTTTTGGTGGGTTTTTTTTAGTGCTTGCCATATATGTTAGAATTAGAATATATGATTGTATTATGCAGCAAAACTGGAGACTGTCACAGATAATTTGATACATCATTCCCTGGAGGAAACAATATTTGGACTTTTGCTGAAAATGAAAAATGCTCCATCATTCTCAGCACGACTGCCTGTGATCTTTACTGTAGAACCTGTGAATATGTGCAAAAAAGTGATGTAAGTTCCTAATAGATCTTCTGGGCCAGCTCTGTAAATTGCACAAAGCTCCTCTCAGAGAGGATGCAGTATTGATCCTGCTGCTGGGATGATGTTCAAGTCATAGAAGCTCACATTCTAAACTGAGCTCAAGTCTTTTTAAGATTTGTATGCAAGTTGGCCCTCCAGACCAATTAACCTCTGGTATTAATGTAAAAGTGCTTTCAATTTAATTCCAGGCGACTGGTGCATTTCCTCAGGAAAAACTAAATTGGTCTGAAACATCTTTTAATCCACTGTAAGGAGCAGAAAAATCTGCTGTTGATATCACAACATGAAAGTCTGTAGCAGAAGGGTGCTGAATTTACTGTCCTTATAAATATACAAGGACAGTTTATCACACCTTGATTGTTGGAATTGTTGTTTTAAAAGAATATTTGTGTAAACAATCTCTAAAATCTTACGCTGTTTCTGTCCTTTAGGTGAAGCCGATGGAGCTCACTGAATTCTTGCAGGTGAAGAAGAGTGAAGGTTACTGCATTGTGGGAGTGGAGCAAACAGCCAACAGTCACAGCCTCCAGGAGTACCAGTTCCCTGAAAAGACCCTGTTGCTTTTAGGGTACGGCAGCTTTTAATTTTGTCACAGTCCAAAAAGGCTCTGTGTGGTGTTTTTCCATCATTCAGTCCCCTAAACCCAACCAACTGTGCCTAAACATACGCAGACCTCAGTGTTCCCATGCCATTGTGACTGTCACATAGATAACGGTTAGCGCTGACGAGGCCATTTCATTTTATCTCGCCAGTTTAGTGTGTGTCCCTGTGGGGTTTGCACATCTCCTCTCAATTGTGTACCTGTCTGGGCATGCTGAGATATAATTGGCTGTCCCCGAGAAGCAGAGGAAAAGCCATGAATTATACAGAACAGCACAAGCAGTGCAATGATTGAGAAATGTCTTAATTTTGGCCCAAAATTTAATTATTCCTAGTCGGTGCGTGTGTTTGTTTTTACAGTTTGTAGCAAACTGAGGCATTAGAAGCTTGCGTGACAAGATTTTTTTAGCAGCCAGCCTCATTCTGTGCAGCTGCCCTGGCAGAGAGGGAGAGAGTAATAGTGCTGGCTTCTGTGTGGGTGTCTGGTTTTGTTCACACCAAACCCTTTAGGCGCTGAGGTGTGAGCAGCGCTGTTAGCTTAAGCACCCATGTGAGTGCTTTCACAGCTGCGCTCTCCTCAGCGCAGCATGGCCAAGCTGTAATTTCTCATCAGGTTGCTATTATGTCACCCACTTTCACAGCGAAGATAAATGTAGCTCATCAAATCACGCTTTCTTACTGTGCAGCACCCTCAGTAGAGACTGGGTCAAAGTCATTAAGTCTTTGTGTTTGCTTTGCTTGGCCTGTATTGCTGGAGCTCATGTGATTACAGTTTGAATTGGACTTGCACTCATTAGCTGTCTGTATTAAGAGCTTTTTCACTCATAATTGTAAAGACTTGAGAAAGTGAAGGCTGATCCTGGTAAGAGCTCTTAAATGAAATGATATGGGTAGCGTCACAAAGCCACAGAAAAGTTTCAAAAAAAAGCATCAGCTGCAGTAGACACTACCTTACATTTAATCATCAGTTGTTGTTATTAATCTCTGGTTCTTTGTCCCGTCGCTCTATCCTCAACCCCAAATGGTCATGACAGACAGCTGTCCCTCCCTGAGGCCATGCCCACACTAATACGTTTTAGTTTTGGCCTTCCGTCCACACTGAGACGGCGTTTTCAGTCAAGGAAAACGCAGCGTTTTGAAAACGCTCTCCAAAGAGGATAGATTTGAAAACGCCGTTTTCGCATCGCAGTGTGAACAGCGAACCCGGAGCCTTTTCAAAAACAGTCATGTGACCAATTAAACTAAGATAGCGGAGGGCATTATACAGCAGTTGTTTTGTTTGCTCTCAATTTTGACAGCCCTGTTAAAGATTAATATCAGTCTGTACATGCTTCAGATAGCTTTTCTTCAAATTGTTTAATTCTCAAGCAACAACTCCACCTCATTGTTAGCCCATTTAAAAAAAAAACTTGGTGCTTTTCCTCAACATTTTGCCGCGACGTTTTAAAGAGCTGGAAAGTAAATAAACAGCAGACTAAACGAGGCAGGCCAAATCTTCTTGCGTTTCACACATTCGCAGTACCGGAACGTAAGCGTTTTCGGCCATTTCAATGTGGATGCACAACTCTGTGAAAATGACTGAAAACGATAGTCTGGACGCGGAGCGTTTTTAGACAAAAACGCCGTTTTCAAATCTATACGGGCTAGTGTGGACGTAGCCTGAACCTCTGGTTCTGCCAGAGATGTCTTCCTTTAAAAAGGGAGTTTTTCCTTCCCGCTTCCGCTTCTCTATGAGTGCTAGCTCATAGGGCATTGACTGATTGTCGGGTTTTTCTTCTTGTTATTTTAGGGTCTTTAACTTACAATATAAAGCACCTTGAGGTGACTGTTGTTGTAATTTGGTGCTATATAAATAAAATTAAACTGAATAGTATACTCACTAGTTGCATGCTGCACAGGATGATTTCACAGAAGTTTTTGTGGAAAGGATGCGCAGCAAGTTCGCTAACTGAGGTGTAATTTAGTTATAAGATAGTAGCATATCCCAAATGCTCCACTTGCTGAAAATATAGTGAGTGGCCTTTCTCAAGAGGTTAATCTGGATTTGAGTAAAGATTTATGTGCTCTGCTTTTATGTGAATTGAATTAGAGACAATTCATCTGAAGGAAATTAATTTTAGTGTTAGATATTTATGTATGCTTTGTTACATTCTTCACTCTTTTCCCCTCTTTATTTTTCTTCCTTTTAGCAATGAACGTGAAGGTATTCCTGCCAACTTACTACAAATGTTGGACGTGTGCGTGGAGATCCCTCAACAAGGCATCATCCGCTCACTCAACGTGCACGTGAGCGCTGCCCTGTTAATCTGGGAATACACGCGACAACATCTCAGCTCTGGCTCGGCAGAGGTCGACTCGAAACGCTGCTGATGAAGACACCCCATGCTGATCTCCTGAGAAAAGTATTTCCTGGGGAGACTTTAAATGAAGGCGTAAAGCTTCTTCACATCATGACCTCAAGGGCTTTCTGTCGAGACAGCGTGGTCAGGAGCCATCGCCGCTGCTCTCAGGCCTTAATGAGAGTCATGAATAAAGATCAGCCCTGGCTATTATGTCTAAATGTTCCACTCTGCTTGCTGTCATATTAATGAAGACAATGTCTGTGTTAGAAGAGCCAAAGCATCAATGGAAATTTTCCCCTTTGGAGGCTGACTATGGAGCATTGGGACTGAATTATAATGACAGTATTCAATGAGATGTACTTAATCTTTAAATACTGCTTGGATTTTTCTAAATGTATAAATAAACATGACTCTTGTTTTTTATGTTGACCTGTATTTAATGATTTGTGATTTTCTATAACAAATTCAGCACTGAAAGAGTTAAATAAGGTACAGCAGGTGCTCACACGCCCCCTCCCTCCCCTTAAACCTTCACCTTCCGGGCAGAGCAGGAGCAGATGGAGTAGCTTACATGCGATAACAGTTGTGTATTTTTCTGTCGAGACTGGCTTGAACTTGACTCATCATGTGAGGATAGCAGTTATTTGGCTGGGATATGGACGATCTGGATGGCTCCTGGTTGAAGCCCAGGTTGTTCCTGCAGGTAGCAACTACTGTGAGTGCAAACTGGACTGAAGGCTCGGAGCTGAGGGTGTCCAAGCAGACCCAGCTGGTCCTGGAGATCCTCATGGTGCTGATGTGTTTGGGCGCTGTGACAGGTACAGACTCATCTACTGATACTTAATTGCCAATTAAGGTATTTTAATTACTAAAAAATTTTTGATACAAGATACAGGATTTTGTGATCTTCTCATATCCATAAAGTGAAAAAAAGCACTTTCAGTGCCAGAACAATTCATTGATTGACACAGTAGAGCTTTAAAGATTTGTTAAAGGTTAATTTACCTGCATTTCAGTATTTTAGGTGTTTATAGGATCTTCTGTTAACATGGTGCTTGTAGTATCCACTAATTAGAATTAATTAATTTCTGCCTCTTTGTCCGGGTCACAAATAAAACAAATACTTTAATATCCACCCACTAGTCTGACCCGTGTGTCACTGCGTGTTTGTGCTTGTGTTGCTGTATTTCTGTGTAGGCAACATTCTTGTTATTGTTATTGTGGCTGCAACCAAAACTTTCCACTCGGTGACGTCGGTGCTCATCATGAACCTGGCCATCAGCGACCTCCTGGTGGGCATCGGGGTCATGCCGTTTGTTGCTCTGTCCGTCATGAACCGTGGATGGGTGGATTGCACGGTACGTCACTCGTGTCCAGTCTAGCATGATTAAATTTTGTGCCAAAAAGTGATTTCCGGTATTTGCCAAAAACTGATTGCTTGTATTTAAACTGCTATAAATAACTCGTTGGTGTATAATATGTGAAACATATGTCAAATGTATCCCTCATGAATGATATCACGTCATCTTGAGCAACAAACAACATTCCTGTAACAAGGTAGAAGCCGCAATCAGTTTTTGGCAGTGAGTTTTATGTATCCTTTATCTATGCAGTTAAACAAAAATATTGTTGACTTGAAAAAAGTCTCTTTTAAGAGTAATCTGGCCAAGAGGACAGCTGAAATTGCAACAAATGCGAAAATAGTTTTGTGAATATATTTTACGCGGACAAAAGGGAGCTGATTGATTATAATAAAGATACTTGAGAAACAGGTAATTTTGTAATTTTATATATAACCCCTTTGTAATACCTGTTCACCAAAGTCTATTTAGCAACATACGTAACGATGTTACACATAAAAAAAACACACGCAAACATTGGAAATCAGTTTTTGGCAGGCAATTGACTATGTGCACGTTAGCATATGCTACTTCCGGTGCGGAAACTCCTGTGGGGAGCTTTGTTTCCGGTGTCCTATTCGCGCCTTGTTTACGGTCCAAAACAAGTTAAG